TCTCTGAAAAAGAGTTTATCTGAGAGCTCAGATGGAAAAATATGGTCTCCTATTCTACCATAAAGGAGCAATCCTTTGCTCCCAGGTCAGTCTGGAGTATGGAAGCCTGGACATTCATTCCTCCAGGAGATTAACCTTCACTGATTAATTTGAGGAGAGCCCAAGATCCAGCCAAAAAGTCTTGTTCTTGGGGCTGATGAGTATAAGGTGAACAAAACAATGATAGTCTGGGGTTCTAAGCCTACACTCACCCTACAAAGTTCCCATGATGCTCCTGTTAAACTTGTCACTATCTAATCATCACATTGCTTGTAACAAACAATACAACCACAAAGACAAAAAGATAAGCATACAATATACATAAATGCAGATGTGTTGTACTAATTAGCTAATCTAAATCACCAAAGTATATGACAATAATAAGCATGTAAAAATTTGTAACTTGTACACGTGTCTGGACTCTACAGGAGAAACCAATACTTCCCTGTTCCTAAGCCAATATAATTTCCACCTGCATTCTGAATGTTTATGCTTATACCCACAGAAAGTGTGGCTCCCACACCTCATAAGAGAAGCTTCCTGAGGAAGATGTTGGGGAAATAACAGAAGCCCACAACTCTCCAGAAGTTTAATGGTCTCTGACCACACACTTTGGGTACTTGCAGAGTATGAATAACATGTTATGACCCATTCTTGTGAGTGCCACTGAGATCACCAAAACTGGTCAAAACAGTGACAAGTGGTATTATGCCCATCCACTACACATGGGTATCTCAACATCACAAATTTTATACCTCAGATTTAATAAGGTCAAGGAAGTCACCCAGCTATCTCTGGTCAAATCCTATCTTGCTCTAAAAGTGCCATGGCCTCTCATCCCCTCAACATTAGCAGTCAAGAACTCCCTTCAGCCATTATGGCCTCTAACCCTCCTGGAGGCCAAAGGGTATAATGAAAAATGGTTTCAGATGCCAAACAGCTGAGTGTAAGCGGACACTTCCTCACCAGAGACATGGATCTCCAGAGGGTTGCTGGCCTCTGACCACACATATGAGGTATTTGTATAGTATCCATAACATCTGAAGGGCCCATTCTTGCTGTATGTCACAGAGATCTCAGAAAACAGAGCCTGGAATTTTGTTTTGTTTGTGAACTGTGACTTTTGGGACCTGGAGAACTTCAGATCTGCCCCAGTCAAAGTGAACCCATCGTATCCTTTGGAAGAAATACACTGAAGGGTCACATTCCCACCTGAGGTCACCACAGGGCTGGGCAAAGCTGACAGAGTAGGTTTGTCATCATGGACACCTAGGAGAGGAGGACACAACCTGTTACAATAAACACAGGCTACATTGCCTGCAGCTGATAAGTAGTGAAACACACCTTGGGAGATTATTTCTTGAGGACAGGGGCAAAGATTGTGACATATAGTGTCCTCTTACCTGTCACCACCAGTTCCAGGGTGTCACTGCGCTCTGTCCACCCAGCAGAGCTGTAAGAGTAACACTTATATTTCCCTGCATTCAGGCTTGTCAATGATGGGATAGAGAATTTTGCCTTGTTACTGTGGTCTACTTGGGTCTCTGTGTGGCTGGCTTCTGGGCTTCCCTCTTTATGGATCACATATATAAGGGCTTTTAGGGGACCCACACACCAGATGGTAACAGAACTCCCTGAAGAGACCACAGAGCCTGGATGAGCCCAGATGCTGGGTTTCTGAAGGTTCCCTGGAAGGTTGCAGAAGAAAAACAAGTGTATCTCTTTGGACAGTTGCACATTAAAGGTCACATTTGCAATGACACTTAAGCTGATCTGCAACAGCAGAAGGTTATATAAAGACCTGACTTTTCCCTGACTCATTGGGTCCACTGTGATTATCCACACAGATTTTTTGCACCTCTAGTCTAGTTATATCACACATTTGGTGAAACTGGTGTCAATAGCACTGTCTCTTGATCACCCTAACACATCAGGTCCTTCCCTGGGATCCTGTGTCTGTGGTAATATCATTCAAAGACAAGGCTGGAGTTTCCTTACCTGAGACCAGGAGCTGTATGTCATTACTGCTCACTGACCACACCTGGTGGTTATTCAGGTAATATCCATAGCATGTGAACCTCCACCTCTGGTTAGGGGTCACAGGACCCACTTTGAAATGAGCTCCTGAGAGCCCATGGTTTATGTTCGGTGAGGACACAGCACTTGAGAACATCTGATCTTCCTTCAGTAGAATGAATCCGTTATATGCCTGTTGTGACACACACTGAAGAGTGGCATTCTGTCCTGAGGTCACCAAATGACTGGCAAGGGTTGACAGTGTGACTTTCCTGGAGTAAACACCTAGAAGAAAGAGGAAGTCTGTCAAGTGGAAACATGAAGTAAACTGACCCACTCATCAAGAATAGAGGAGGAAATTCCTAGGAATAAAGAATTATCCTCTCAAGATGTTCATGAAACCCACATGGTAGGTCATTACTGCTCACTGACCACACCTGGGAGTTATTCAGGTAATATGCATAGCATGTGAACCTCCACCTCTGGTTAGGGGTCACGGGACCCACTCTGAAATGGGCTCCTGAGAGCCCACGATGTGTGTTCTTTAAGGACACAGCACTGGAGAAAATCTGATCATCCTTCATTAGAATGAATCTGTCATATGCCTGTTGTGACCCACACTGAAGAGCGCCATTCCATGCTGGGGTCACCACAGGACTGGGTAGGGCTGACAGGGTGAGTTTGCTGGAGTAAATTCCTAGGAAAGAAGAGGAATCCTGTTAAGTGGAAAACAGAAAGTAAACACTGCCCACTCTTCAAGAAATTGAGGAGGGGACACCAAGGCAAGCATACCCCTTTCCTCAAGGAAATTCCTAGGATTGAAGACTTATTGTCTCACCTGTCACCACCAGGTCTAGTGGGTCACTATGCTTTGACCACCCCAAAGATCCATAAGAGTAACACCTATATTTCCCTGCATGACGTCTTTCCATGGATGCTATGGAGAATATGGCCTTTTTACTGGGACCTTGTGGAGTTTGACTATCCAAAGGTGCTGGGCTTCCTTCTTTGTAGAGGAAATATAGTTGGGTGTTCTTGGTCCCCTCACACAAGATTGTCACAGCTTTCCCTGAAGCAATCTCAAAACGTGGCTCTGCCTGTAAGTTGTGGTTTTTCAGTGTCCCTGGAAGGATGCAGATGAGAAGTGTGACACTGAACAGTTTCTCAGTTAAAGTCAAACTTTCTGCTGCCCTTGCACTTTACCACTGACTAGAAAAGGAACAGCAATGCCACGGGAAGACTCATCACTCTCCTACTCCTTGCGGCTTTCAGAGTTCCCATGCCCTCTCCTCATTTTCTGTACATTGACTACCACAGTCTGTATGCTGTGTCAATGATCTCATCTCAAGTTGATCAGACACATCACACACCATGGTCTCCACTGTGAACCCATGTCCAACAGAATGTGTTTCCACAGAGTGTCTGAGGCTTCCACATGGGACACCAGCAGCTCCTGGGTTCACTGGCTTCTGACCACACCTGAGGATTACTTGTGGAATAGACATAGCATCTGAAACTCCACCTTTGGCTGGAAGTCATTGGACCCACTTGGAACCTGGCCTGGAAAACCCCAGTGTGTGTATTTCTTGAGCACTGAGGGGTGGAGAATTTCTGACCATCCTTAGTCAAAATGAACCAGTCATAAATTTCATATGAGCTACCAGTGAGGGTCACAGACACTCTTAAATTTACAACAGGTTTCTGCTGAGAGAACAGGGTGGGCTTGTCATAGACTCCTAGAAGAAATAAGTCTGTGCAAACTTAAAGGGGCTCAGAGAGCCTGAATTGTGTCCCATGGCTGCACATGGAAGGGATATGCGGCTACATCACATTTTCTTAGGAGTGACATCTGCAAATAAGATTTATGTATCCAGTCCCCTATCACCAACAGATCTATGGTGTCACTGTGCTGTGTCCATGCAGTAGAGGTGTAAGAATAACAGTGATATCTCCCTGCCTGCAGCTGTGTCACAGATGGAATGGTGAGTTTTGCCTCATTATTTTGTTGGGGTTTTTTTGTTGTTGTCAAAAGGAAAGACTTTATTTTTTTTCAAAACGAGGAAGTAGAAAGAAATGTTGCTAGAACAAAAGAGCAGTAGGGAATCATTTTTGAGAAGGAGGAATCTTTCCTGGAAAATCAATCTCAACCATTATAGGTAGGGCATCTCTATGGCTGTCTGGGTTGGACATGGCTTCCTGCTGTGTCTGTCAAGAAAAGGGACACAGTGATTCCCAGTGTAATTTCAGGCCTTGTGACATGAAATTGGCAACTTGCTGATCCAGCGTGCTACAAGATCTCACACCAGAATGGATTCCATTCCACCTCTTTTGTGGGGTGTCATTGTAAGACATACTCCTCTTAATTTAATAGGACACAAATTTACATCTCACAAACATGAAACACCACAAGATTCATATGGAATGGTTAAAGAATTAAGATAGATTAGATTAAAACCACAATATATTTCCACATACTGACTATTAAATAGAAAATTTTTGAACATAGTACAATAGAAGATACTAAAGGAAGAGCCAGTAAAAATAAAGAAATGTTATTCAAGAAATAGTTAATTTGTATTTGGAATGATTAAAACTTCCAAAAATATATAGTTGCAAAGTTTTGGTAATATTGTGCTACAATTAATGTTGTTCAATTTATATGTAAAATAGATTACAATGAAATTCAATTAAATATATCATATTTATGTAAATGAAGCTATATAAGAGAAGTATTTCTACCTTCTCTTATACATAACACCACACTGAATCCTGATTTATTGCTTTCTTTTTTTTGTTAAGGGCTATTTGGATCTGTTGGCGCCATGAATCCAGGATCCCCTCTTTATATATCACATATATTGGTTTTTCCAGTGTCATCTCACACCAGATGGTAAGAGGACTCCCTGAGGGGATCACCAAGTGTGGTTCAGCCCATATGTTGGGTTTGTGAATGTTTCCTGTAAATAATTAGTAAGAAAGGAGGTGCATCTGCTAGGGAGATACCACTGAGAAGGTCATAATTGTCATTGACACAGGAGCTGATCTGCATTAGCAGAGTACACAAAAAGACCACACTTTGCCTCGCTCTTGGATTCTTCTTTTATTTCAACCCTAGTTTTGGCACCTCACATTCAGCTATATCACACATTCTGTGACACTGAATTCAGTAGATTTGGCTCTCAGTCAACTCCCACACATCAGGTCATTGGCTGGAATCTTGTGTCAGTTACAATTACACTCAAATGAAACTCTGCACTTCCTTACCTGAGACCAGGAGCTCTAGGTGGTTACTG